TTAATGAGAGTTGTGTTCTGTAGGAGAGGCTGACATCTCTGGTGTACGGTCTGCTGCGACAACACAGGTTTGAGTTCTTGGAGATGATGAGAGAAGAAGCAGCAACTGCCATCAAGGCAGGCATCAAACAGGTCGGTCAACTTTGCTTTTTGCTCTAGAAACTTTGAAGACTAACCTTGTGTTGTTTGCAGTATTTTTATACGAGTAAAGAGACTCTTTTTTCCCAACCAAGTCTTTTATTTAGCTGACGTTTTGGTGACCGTCTGTCACCTTCCTCAGGGCAATTCTGACTGGTTCACATTGCACTGCAGCACAGGTGTCGCTGGTATAGATGCATTCCCAAATGTACAATATTTACATATCTACATTATATACGTGGTTACAGGTAACTGTATCTACAATGCGGTCCCAAACGTACAATATTTACATAATATCTACGTTGTGTAGAAAGAGTCTCTTTACTCAGTGTCTTACCAGCCTGATGAAACTATTCATGGATTGTAGATGTGTGTATTACAGCAATGTTTTCAAAGAAAGTTGCCTAAAAATTGTCTTTGCCTGTTTTCCAGACTGTTGCAGAATATGTGTCACAAATAGACACCATTGACAACGAGTCTGTGGGAAGGTAGGTTGACAAATGTAGCTTATACATGTATGTATTATCCGTATGTGTATGACCATTGATTTATACTGAAAATGACATACATGTAATCAAGGCCTGGATAGTGAGTGAGAGTGTCACTGTAAATTAATTTATTTTCGAGATTTAATTTTGCAATATACACTGTAAGGGATAAGAGGTTTTCACAGTGACGTCACATTTATGTTTCACAAATATCAGACTATGCTATGGGATAGGGTAACTGTTGATTCAATTAAAAGATTGACCAGAAAATTGACTTTCTGAATTCAAAGTTTTCCAGTTTTGCTGCCCTTAAATTACATTGGATGCCTCTAATGGTGTCGTGATGATTATAGTAGAGAGGTGCGCCAAAAAGCAGTTACTCAAGCAACTGGATATGATTTTGAAAACGTCAGACGTTTCAGCTAGTATCCACTAGCTTTCGTCAGTGACTGAGAGACCAGAGGGGAAAACAGGTTTATAAGCAGAACCTATTGATTGATATGCAAATAAAGTGAAGACAAAATTTTTGGAAGTCGAAAAAGGAACAAAAGTCAGACAAGTCAAGACAAGATTATGCAAAACCTGTTTTCCCCTCTGGTCTCTCAGTCACTGACGAAAGCTAGTGGATACTAGCTGAAACGTCTGACGTTTTCAAAATCATATCCAGTTGCTTGAGTAACTGCTTTTTGGCGTATCGTATTACCTGGATGTCTAACCTTCATCGACGTAGTAGAGAGGTGATTGCACAAACTAAAAGTTAAAACCACTGAAATACAGTACATTCTAAAAATGCATGCTGTTGATTATATTTAATTTACATTGATGAAGGTTAGACATCCAGGTGTTCACTGAACAATTTTAAAAAATTCAAACTCTTCTACCCTGACTGGATGAGTTATGAGATTACATCCAGACATTTTGAGTGACATCCGTCACTCTTATTCAGCGTCACTAAATAAACTGAGAGAACTAGTCAATCCCTTATCACACATTGAATGTGAAGGAACTGTTTTTACTGGAAAAAACAATTGAACATGACAAAGACTCACAAGTCTCATTATTATGTAAATGAGAATAAGGGCTTGATATAATAATGTGATAAATGTTGGACCAAATGCCTGTATGTATAAAAACTGTTTGTTTGTTTGTTTGTTTAGCCTTGCAGACCAGATGCGCATGCTGAACTTCCAGCAGTGGTTAGAGATGTTGGGAGAGGTCTTCAGCAAGCTTCTACTGTTAGTCAGCAGGGTCAAGGTTAGTTATGGTCACAGTACACAGTATTTATAGGCAAACAATAGTCAAAAGTAGTCCGGGCACAAAGTAGTGCGTCACTGTGACAGTACTTTAGAAAGTTGTCGAGATTCTTTTGTGCGAGATAGCGAGGCTCAATTGTAGAGGAATACATCGGGTTTGAGACCAGGGTCAATGGACCTATCACATTATTACATCACAGTTTTTATGCAGCAAGTTTAAACTGTAATTTCCAACACAAGAAATTGGACAAATTTTCAACTGTACAACTCCAGTCTTTGTCAAGGAATGAACAATCCACCGCTTCCGTGACGTCACGCAGATACATTGTTTGTGTAACACACGTGACTCCGTGAGCAGTGGATCATAGGTTACAGAAAGTCTGTGGCGCCCCCCGTCTCTGTTGACGGATGGTTGTAATGCCCTGATGTAGATGGCCTCTTTAAAAGAACGGTCAGTTAAAGAATAAAGATCATTTCAAAGTTTTCAAATTCAGGTATGTTTGATTTTTGCTGCATCTAGTTTTTTTGACACAGCATTACATGCCGCATGGGTGATTTAGTTGTGACATTAGACGAAAGTAGTACTGTATTAAAAGCCTACACAGACACACACAGCGCTATGCACCCCTGTACAATATAAACGTCGATTGACCGGCATTCATGGCGGTAAACAGAACTGTAACACAGCCCTACTGAAGATATATGGCAACATAGCATACAGTCGTGTAATTTTGGCATGCTATGGAGGCTACATGGCAAATGTAACTGTAAAAAGATCATTGATTTTTAACAATACATGACATTGTATTGTAACCTGCAGATGACAGCTGCCGTCATTCAGGGTGTAATACACCTGGCAGCTGGCAGGGGGCACTGCACCACTGAAGTAGGGGTGGCTCTAGGAGTTTCCAAGTCCAGCCGGCCCGTATCCACCAGCTCCTCGCAATCCTCCAAACCTGAAGCGGAGCTACGGGACAGCGACAACGGCCTGCTGGAAAACTCGCATGAGGAATTCGTCAGCGAGGAAAACCGGGTCTTGGGTTTCCACGACGACCACGTTCTGACCAATGGGGACATTGCTGCTTTGTCGAACTCCGAGGAGTTGAGAACTAAAAAGGGAAATGAAACCAAACAAAACGCTGAAACCTCTAATGAGAAAACAAAGCCAAACGGAATCGATAGGACAGACCAACACTCGGAACTGTCGTCCAATGAAGTGGCTGGTATCACAAGAGACGGCGTAACGGAAAACGGCGGGCATTCCCTGGATGAGGAGGAGGATGGAGAAGACGTGGGATATTATCTGGAAGACAGGTATGATTACAACGTTGATGATATCTTTTTTCTACATTAACTATACAGAATTATGACATGTTAAAGGCATCCAGTGCAGTTTTTAGGGCTTGGAAACCCAATTTTTCAAAATCAATATTCCAGTCATTTATCTACATACTGAGTTGAAACAATGTATATTGAGCCTCATGTAGCAAAAATTCCCAAAATTCTGACGGAAAATGGTTACTGGAAGGGCCCTGGGCTGATTTTTAGAAATAAAAAATAAAAGACCCAGAAAATAAAAGACTCATCTTGGGCCTTGTTTCTGCAGTTTTAAATGCTCAAAGTCTGAAATGCTGACTCAAATGTGATAATGTGAAGCAGTATGTGCCAATATCACAAAGATTAGCAATGCCTTATTCAGAATATTTCCAGTTTTGCCACCCTGAAATCACAATTCAGATGCCTTTAACCTTCCATACGCAAATATGACCTCATACATATACGAGACTTTCTGCCAAAGTGCTATGCATAATACATTACAAGTTTGGCACAGGTGCAATACTTTCGTGTTTCTCATCACTTTGTTTCCCATTTGTAACCAGTAATCTATCCAGTTGTTGTCCTGTTACCGGTTAGTAAAGCATCATCATCAGGTTTGCTAACTGGTTAGAGTTAGTGAAATGAATGAGCATATGGTCTGCTCTGTTATGTCTTAGTTACTCAAACACATTCATATTCAATGTGTATATATAATGTAGTATATAGTGACAGGAGTCTAAATCCCTCCTGCTATAAAATTGCAACATAATGTAACCCAACACCAGTTACCATGGTGATAGACGTCTGGTTCAGGTCATTGACCTTATTTGTTTGGAGAAGAAGAAGAAGAAGAGGAAGAAGAAACAGAGCAAAAACAATATGTTTTCCTTCTGCGAAGGTAAACAGAATTATAACCCTGATGAAGATGACAATCTTATGGTCATTGACCAACCTGATAAAATCATTCAGGAACTAGAGAAGTAACATTTTTGCAAAGCAAATGCATAATGTACACCTTCGGACATGGTCTGCTCTGTTAATTCTTACTCAAACACATTCACATACATGTACATGTACGACTATAGTATGTGGTGACAGGAGCAGAGAAGACCATGAAATTGCAACATTATGTAACCCAAGACCAGTCACCATGGTGACAGATGTCAACAAATCATGTCATTGGTCAGGTCAGAGGTCACTGTTTGGAGAAGAAGAAGAGGAAGAAACTGAGCAAAAATGATATGTTTTCCTTCGGTAAACTGAAGTTGAACTGAAGTTGTTTTCTTGCTGCAGTGAACACACAGTGTACCTGAGTGAGACAGACTATGTTAAGGTGTCGGGGACCTTAAAGGACCTGCTCTGTTTCCTGTGTGACCACGCCCACGACAGGTGTCTCAAGCTGCTCATGGCAAGATCAAAGGTCAGTCAACTGTAGGACATTTCCATGCTGCTCTGTCTATTAACATACGTAACATTCAGATACATGTTTACATTTGTACATGTACATGTATGTTGTATTCTGTAATTTTAATTAATTATTAAAATATAATATGAGGACTTACTGTAATCAACAATACACAGTACCAGGGCTTGAAATACTCTTTTCTACCAGTGCAGGTAACATTGAAAATTACCTGCACATTTAAGAGAAATTGTACCTTCAGCATGCAGACTTTGAGAAGTACATGTACACGTATGGATCATACTCAAAAACTATAAAAATTGCCATTATTTATGTTACACTTCATAGGTGGTAACAGTAAATGCAGCAAATAAAGTTCCACATGTACATATGTAGCATACATGTACATGTACCTACATTTATACATTTTGTAACACAAAAAGATAGTTCTCACCTAGAGCTTTCGACCAGTCACTCTGGTTTTCTGCAATAGATTGACCCAGTAAGACTTGGTCTTTTTGTGTTGGAATAAAAGTTTTAACATGTGAGTGAGTAGTAACTACCAAGTTACACACAGATGAACTTTCATAATAGCAATTGTCATAAAGTAATATAGAATACTACACGGTGTATTCCGTATGTACGTATTGCCTGAGGTATCAGCCCGACCGCGCGTCGGATCACCCAAAGACTGGAGGGAGATCCAATCTGCCGGAGGGCTGGGAACAAGGGTGATGCGGAATACACCGTGTAGTATTTTTTTAATGTCATACCAACCCGAAAAAAAAGACATTTCAATGTGAAATGTGCCAAAATTTGGTGTATCTAAACAAAAAGTGTAACGGCGTCAATTCCAACATCCGAATTCGGTGTTCGAAGTTTTGAAAGCGGCGCACTCGGTGCACGCGAAAGGCTTTCGAATCGTCCTATGGATCATTAGGAAGCCCGGGCCGTACGCGGTAAGAACCCCGGGCCGTACCACTAGTTATCACACGAGCCGGAACACCTACATGTATATCGCACATAATCGCGGCCCAGGTATGACATACAACTGTTTGTCCCTCCCTCCTTAGGATGGGTTTTTGGAGAGACTGACGTCCAGTGAGTTTGTCCAGTTATCACGTGCAATAGAAGGGTTTGTGAAAGACTGTGAGGAGGTCTGCGGCAGGAGGAGTACCTCTTTAAGGGGAGGCTTACAGAGTCAGGTAAGCAACATCCTAGATTTGGACTTAAGATTAATACATGCACTAAGATAACACTAATTTAGTATTTGATTGGGTCTGTGATTTGAATCCATTTTTTTCTAATTTGCCAAAAAATGTTCTGAATCAACACCAAAAATTGGCCCAAGCAGTTGAGGACGGTCCTTGTCTTCATATTATTATACAGTAGTTGCCTCAGTTTCTTTTTTCATCTGTCAATGCAGTGGTTTGATAAAAGGTTCAAAACTGAAAACCAGCCTGGTATGGATATCATAAAGTTTTGGGCTATCATGGGATGCGTAGGCCTGTTTTTTTTTTTAAATCTTCAACCTTTCGCTTCATATTTTTTCAGAAAAAATATTAGAAATTGGCCTAAAAATTTAATGTAATAAATTAATAATTATATATGTGCAATTTTCTAGGCAAACTAGTTCATATAGTCTTATATATTACTTATGTCGTAGAATGCCAAAATCAATTTAAAGAAAAAGGAAAATGTGAAGAAATGAAAATGAAGTTAGAGTCTATCATTCGCCATACCATGCTCTCTGTGTATAGTGACTGTCATTTTTTGCTTAACCTTCATGACCATTGTACGCATGTAGATTTTGTAACTTTTTTGCCACACTGTTTCATATTCACATCATGCTTGTATCCGTTTTTGAGGATGTCATCCATTTAATCAAATCAATATGGCCAAAAGTAGATTTAGGTTACGCAAATTTCTTCTGTATTCAGTCACTCACTGTTTTATATCTTTTGTTGTCTTTTTCACGGTGTAAATCATGTTTATGACTGTTTTGCCCTACAGTAATCATTGATTGATATGTGCTGTTATACAGGCCAACAGATTTGTGAACAGGTTTCATGAGGAGAGGAAAACAAAGCTGAGCCTGATCCTGGACAGTGAGCGCTGGAAACAGACAGATGTGCCCGTGGAGTTTCAGGACCTGGTCAACTCTGTGGACAAGGGTAAGTCTGTAGCTAGGTTCCACCAGCGCAACGTCCTGCAAATCTTGGTCCGAAGTCCAGGGTTGGACAAGTTTTCGAACATCCACTTGCCCTATACATGCAGGCCTCGAAATTAACTTTTCTTCCTTTTGTCCCAGCACTGTCCTGAAATAAATTTCAATTGTCCCAAAGTGAGGATGAACTGTCCCAACCTGTTTTTTTTTAACTCAAGTATTGTATGACTTCAACTTGAAGTCAACCTTATTTTGTTTACATGTATGTTCACTCCCAGGCACACTATAATTGCAGAGTAGACAGGAAATTCGAGGGGACTTTTCCCGATCCAAAAGCCGGGACGTGTGCCTGATGGACAAAAGAAGGAATGACATTCTGATGTTGATTATTTTTCTATTGTCCCAAAAATGTCCCAAAGTGTCTTAAGTTTTTAGTTGTCCCAGCCTAAATTTTAGTGGTCAGTGGCCATTGGACCACCTTCGCAGTGAACTTTCAGACATACTTATGATTAACATCAATGTGATATCTTTATGGGAAAACGATTTTGTAATTTTGCTCCAAACCCTGATATACTGGAGAATAATGCTGCATCAAAAAAAATTGCCCAATTTGGGCATATATGCACTTGCCTAAGCAGCTTTTACTTGCCCTGGGCAAGTGGGCAATTGGACTTGTCCAACCCTGAAATCCTTTTTTTAAAAACAACAGTTAAACTGTTACTCTGCCATCAGGGATCGAAATATCCACTCTCACTGTGCAAGTCATACATGTACCTTCTGTGCGAGACTTAATTGGAGATGCCAGATTGTATATGTGTTTTCATGAAAATGATACCCGAGGGGAAAGTTACCGCTTCTGAAATAAACTGTGCCCCGCCTTGGCCAGCTTGTGAGCGATACCTTTACCCTAGCCTGGGTTATGGCTAATGCCTTCTAAAATAAACATCCAGTGTTGATTGTAATCTGTAATATTGATGGGCAACCTAGCTCAGAAAGAGTATTTCGAACCCTGGTCATAGAGAGCCATGAGACTTCATTTCTGCATGAAAAATTCTCTCACAAGATATTATATTTACAATATTTTCTGCATTTTTCAACTTTTGGCATTCATACAATTTTCACTCCTCATAAATATAATTCTGCAGATGCAGAAAAAATTTGACTGCGCCACAAATTTCAGAAAATTTGTTGAGAGAATCCTAAAAATTGTGTGATGCGCATGTTTGCACCTAGGTGTGATACCACCCCCTACTACCAAGCAGAATGCCAGTAAGTAGGAGATTCAGTAGATAATTTATCTTCCAGTAATAACTCCTGGTTTGCTTCCTGGCCTACATTCTGCTACGTACATTCCTGTGTTCCAGCCAGCATCTGTCTTTCCATCATTAGGCCACACCAATTTAATTTGTTTCTCGGATTCACCCCGTCCATTTTTTTCTGATTTCAAAAAAAAAAAAAGTTTTTTTAGTTGTTAAAGTTTTTCAATATAACAGTGCAGTTTTGTTTCATTGAAAGTTCAAAATCTATTGTTCTAATTTTAAACCAGCCTGGTATGTTCACTTCATGGCTCTGGCTATCATGGGGTGCCTTGGCCTGTTTTTTTTTTATTTCGCCCTGTCACTCCATTTTTTTTCTGAAACAATCCGAGAAAGAACAAATTAAATTGGTGTCATCTTGATGGCAAAAAAATTGCATGTAAAGAGATGAAGAGATGCCATTAAACTAATTTTAGTCTACCAACAAAATTTTCCCCTCAAAGTGCAGGAAATAACACATTTCAAAGGGTCAAGATTTCAAAACTGTCCCAGGGGAGCATGCCCCTGAACCACTCCAATGCTTAATATGATATGATGTCAAACAAAATTGAGATTTCAGGCTGGCTAGAACACTTAATTAATGATTATAAATACACATTCTATTCTGAAACACGTCGCATTTCAGAATTCCTAACAGCTCGTCACATTTGTCGTAGACCATCATATGATTTCGTACGATCGTACGATGATCATACGGCAAATGTGACCAGACCAAAATGTTCCTTTCATCGCCTATCCGCCTCGGTGAAAGTTACTCAGAGGTGTTTTTTTTTTTCTTTCTTGTTGCATGAATTGAACTGAACTAAACTGAATTTTTGCATGACACACAGGCCAAGGGTTCTTTTTGATCGGTGGCATTTCACTCCACTTTTCTTTTTGGCATGGCTTTAAAAAAATCTTACTCTCCGCACTCCACTCTACATTTCATTCCACATTAAGGTAAGTTTGAGAATCAGCCTTCCGCTTTGAAGGGATTTATGGTGTCTTTTTGTTTCAGTAACGGAGAAGAAACCGACAGAGTACCTACTTGTGGATGGACAGAAGTTTGCTATTGTTGGGTATGTCTGTTTATTTGTTTGTTTGTTTGTTTCTAAAATGCCATCAACAATACCATGGAATTTTTCAAGGTACTGAGATGCCATCAACAGTACCATGGCACTTTTCATGGTACTGAAACACCATCAACAATATCATGGCACTTTTCATGGTACTGAAACACCATCAACAATATCATGGCACTTTTCATGGTACTGAAACACCATCAACAATATCATGGCACTTTTCATGGTACTGAAACACCATCAACAGCACCATGGCTTTTTTCATGATACTGCAATCACTTGCATACATGTCACTTGTAAGACCGAACCTAGAATACGCTGCGACAGTATGGGATCCATATACAAAGAAAGACAAAGACAAATTGGAAAGGGTACAGAATCAAGCTGCAAGATTCTGTATGAACAACTATGTAAGAGGTGCTAGTGTCACGGAAATGAAAATAAACCTACAGTGGACCTCACTGGAAGACAGAAGAAAGATGTCTAGACTATGCATGATGTACAAAATGACTATAGTAATAAACTGGTGGATGTCCCAACTACTAAGTACCTAATACCAGCCCAGAAGAGAACAAGAAATAGCCACGCATTCAAGTACCAGAGTTATCAACCAAGGATTGAGGTGTTCAAGAATTCATTCTTTCCTAGAACTATCGCAGAGTGGAACTCACTGTCACCAAGTACAGTAGGGGCATTGTCAATAGATAGCTTTAAACAATCTCTAGAGCTAGAAGTTCAAGGGTTAGGTGTAACAAGTCGATCGGTGTAATATAGCCAGCTGCCGCCGTGCCGCGTGCCTGCGAAGCTGGTATGTTACGCCGAAAGGCGGTTATACCGGCTATACAGATACAGATACATTATCAACAGTACCATGGTACTTTTCATGGTACTGAAACACCATCAACAGTTACAGGGCACTTTTTAATGGGACTGAAATGCCATCAACAGTACCATGGCACTTTTCATGGTACTGAAACACCATCAACAGTACCATGGCGCTTTTCATGGTACTGAAACACTATTAACACTACCATAGCATTTTTCATGGTACTGAAACACTATTAACACTACCATGGCATTTTTCATGGTACTGAAACACCATCAACAATATCATGGCACTTTTTATGGTACTGAGACACCATCAACAGCACCATGGCACTTTTCATGGTACTGAAATGCCATCAACAATATCATGGCACTTTTCATGGAACTAAAACACCATCAACAGTACCATGGCACTTTTCATGGTACTGAAATGCCATCAACAGTACCATGGTACTTTTCATGGTACTGAACCCCATCAACAGTACCATGGCACTTTTCATGGTGCTGAAACGCCATCAACAGTACCATGACACTTTTCATGGTGCTGAAACGCCATCAACAGTACCATGACACTTTTCATGGTGCTGAAACGCCATCAACAGTACCATGGCACTTTTCATGGTGCTGAAACACTGTTAACAGTAGAATAGTACTTTACAATGTACTGAAACACCATCAACTGTACCATGGAACTTTTCATGGTACTGAAATGCCATCAACAGTACCATGGCACTTTTCATGGTTCTGAAACACCATCAACAGTACCATGGCACTTTCCATTGTGCTGAAACACTGTTAACAGTACAATAGTACTTTACAATGTACTGAAACACCATCAACAGTACATGGTACAGTTTCATGGTGCTGAAATGCCATCAACATTACCATGGCACTTTTCATGGTGCTGAAATGCCATCAACAGTACCATGGCACTTTTCATGGTACTTAAACACCATCAGCAGTACCATGCCACTTTTCTTGGTACTGAAACACTATCAACAGTACCATGATGGTACTTTTCATGTTACTGAAACACCATCAACTGAAACACCATCAAGTACCATGGCACTTTTTATGGTTGTCTTAGACAAGTTTGAGTGTACATGTAAGTGAGTTCCCCCCACCTTGTGTTCTGCAGTACTGTGCTGCTACTGCTGAAGATGGTACTGGAGTACTGTCAGTGTGCTGATGACCTGCCTTCCGCTACACCTGACATCCTCACAAGACTAGTGGAGCTTCTTAAGGTAAAAGGAAGCAGTGTGAATATTAAGAATTTTTGTTATAATATTGAAGTTCTTGTTTTATTCATTAGGCCACGGCGACTTAATTTTATGGATGACATCCTCTGAAGACACCCAAACTAGTGCGCGAAGGCGAATCAAAAAAAATTCCAGCCAAAAATAAAATGCTACTAAATACAACATTGGTATTGTGAATTTGCGGCAGCAAATAGTGACGTACACACAAGCCGGCACATGCTGGCTTTTCGAGGAATTTATGAATCGGCACTGGAGCTTCAGTAGCCTGGGTGACATCCTCCAGAGTTACCATCGGCTCCGTATTGTCGCTAACTATCATGGACTACCCAGGCCTAGAGCCAGGCATCAGAGACTCGGAGGACGTGATCTATTTTTTTTTGAGAACAGGCGAAAATCAATGCACACGTCAGGGCTCGAAATACTGCGTGCATGTGCACCGTAGTGCACCCAAAATTGGAGCTGTGCACCCAATTTTTTTCTGTGGGTGCACTGGTGCACCCAAATATTTTTGTAGGTATTTTTGTACATATCAAATGTATGATAGTACACAGGTTATTCTTGGCATCTAAGTCAGAAAAATAATAAAATCTTTGTTGTAATAATTGTTTAAGCCTTTGAAGTTAGCTCCCATTTCAGATTCAAGCTTAGGAGAGAAGCAGTAAGATCTGTAATTAGGTTTTGTTTCAAAATGGTGCACACACCACCACCACACCCCCCCCCCAGAAAAAAAATTGTGCACCTAATTTTTAGGTTGGGTGCACCAGTGCACCTATTCCCAAAAATGAATTTCGAGCCCTGCGCGTGGATGTCATCCATAAAATTTTGGTGTGGCCTTATTATAAACCAAATAACTTCTGAATCAGTAATAAACAATACCACTCTTTACAATATTTTTTTGTAAAGTTCATAAACATACATGAAATTGTCATGCCTGCAATTGTTGTAACAGTTATAATTGTACACATACACGTGATTGTTTAAAATGTAGCATTTCATCTGAATGGTAAAATACAACAAAGGCAGCAGTAAAATATTTCCTAATAAACAATAATGTAGTATAATTCTTTTCTTTATTTCTCACTTTGCACATTTTTATTAGAATTTATTACAACATTCAAACACTTAAAATCTCTACAAGCTAAAGCTTTTTTTCTGGTTGGTAAAATTTTGTTAGCTAGATTTACACGATGTGAATGCTGGTATGCCATCTGGAGTTTTCTCTTTATCCAACTCAGACATTTTTTGTTGTTCTTGCAGCACTTTAATTCCAGAAGTTGTCAGCTGGTGCTGGGTGCAGGTGCTAGACAGGTCGTGGGACTGAAGACAATCACCACCAAGAATCTTGGTAATCCAACTTCTCTTTAAAGGACAAGTAAAGTTATTACCTTCGCCAAGAAGGTTATGTTTTCAGTAGCGTTTGTCTGTGTGTGTGTTTGTGTGTGTGTGTGTGTGTGTGGTTTAGCAAGATAACTCGAGAAGCAGTGAATGGATTGGAATGAAACTTGGTAGGTGGGTAGGTCTTCATAAGACCTAGAAATGATTAGATTTTTGGCCCCCTGGCGGCTTTCCTAGGTACTGCAGCAGAACTTCCGGTTTTGATATCTCGTGATCTGGACATGCTAGGGTCACGAATTTTGGATGGCAAATAGCTCTTGGAATAGGGAAGAAGTGACATGAGTTTGGGTCCCCTAGCGGCTTGTTTCATTTTTGGTGCCTTTCAAACCAAAATCCTTTTTGCAAAAGGTGATTCTTTGGTTTCTACTAGTCCCGCACACATAGGGGTGATATTTCACCCAAATCCATGTTCACGTTTGATGCCTGCCTATTCCACCAGGAGGCAGCAGTGACATTACCTTGTTGCGTGTATTTTTGTGAAATGGACAGTTTTGTAGTCTTTTCTCTGATAACAAGTAATGGTGGCGTCGGGTGGCGTAGTGGTAGATCATTCGACTGTGAACCGGGAGACCCGGGTTCGATCCCGAGTCGTACCCGGGACATGTCTGTACATGCGCCCGACGTTGTGCCCTTGGGAAAGGCACTTTACACGACTTTCCTCACTCCACCCAGGTGTGAATGGGTACCTAACTTCGGTTGGGGAAAGCCGTATTGAGGTCACCTTGTGGCGCCGAATGGCAGCCGCACAGACCCTTGCGACAGTACCACAAAAATAATTGTGGAACAAATATGTGTATCATTTGTATTATTTGAATGTTGTAATTGTTGGGATTTGTATTGATTATTATGTGATAGCCTGCATCAATTCAGCCATATAAAGGCTGCACGGGTACTGTTTGGCCAATAAAAACTATTTATTAATTTATTATTCCCTGCGCAGCCTTGTGTTCACGCTGCCTTCAGCTGATGGTCCACCACCTGCCTATAGTGGAGGAACACTTCAGGGCCAGGCTACAGCACAAACAACAGGCCATGCTCAAGTCCTTCCAACAGGTCAGTATCACCAGGAACCAGCTCAAGGCAAAACGCACCATGGCGGGGTCGTGTGGCGCAGTCGGTAGCGCCTTCGGCTCACACCCCAGAGGTCCCGGGTTCGAACCCTGCCCATGTCACCGATCTTGTGCCCTAGGGAAAGGCACTTTACACGACTTTCCTCACTTTACTCAGGTGGAAATGAGTACCTAGCTTCGGTTAGGGACGTCCCTCGGATAGGACGTTATATGGAGGTCCCGTGTTTGGGAGAGCCACACCCCACGCACGTTAAAGAACCCACCGCACTTATCGAAAAGAGTAGGGGATCTTGCCGGTGTGAGTGGTTCAAAACCTTACAGTCCGGTCTTACGCAGCTTGTACATGTACGCACATGTACAAAACTGGTGTGTTATGCCTAAAGGCGGTTTACCGGTTATGCGAAACAAACAAACAAACAAAGGGGGCACACTCCAGTCTATTTGGCATTTCTATTCGATGCTGCACACCCTCTAGCGACTGTCTCAAACGTGTAATTCGGAAGGAGAATAACTGTATATGGGACGAAAGAATATCTCCTCAGCAACAAGACCAACTGAGTTTGGTTTCTTCATCCTCTTTAATTTGGGTAAAATCAACAGAAAAAAAGATAATATGTTTACTCTAAAAATTAACACACAAAATTGGGAATTTTCACGTACGTAGGATAATCCCATAGAAAAAAGACTTTCCAGCACAAATGAATGATGCTGGCAGAAAGACCCAAACCTTGACTATACTGTGAGTAAGTTATAAAGAAAATCCTAGTACTCAAATTTTCTAAATCGTCCATGGCGCGAGGGGTTGCAAATTGACTCTCAGGAAGCCAAAATCTCACTGGAAGACAGAAGAAAGATGTCCAGACTATGCATGATGTACAAAATGACTAATAAACTGGTGGATGTCCCAACTACTAAGTACCTAATACCAGCCCAGAAGAGAACAAGAAATAGCCATGCATTCAAGTACAAGAGTTATCAACCAAGGATTGAGGTGTTTAAGAATTCATTCTTTCCTAGAACTATCGCAGAGTGGAACTCACTGTCACCTGAAGTACAGTAGGGGCATTGTCAATAGATAGCTTTAAACAATGTCTAGAGCTAGAAGTTCAAGGGTTAGGTGTAACAAGTCGATCGGTGTAATATAGCCAGCTTCCGCCGCGCCATGTGCCTGCGAAGCTGGTGTGTTATGCCGAAAGGCGGTTATACCGGCTATACAGATACAGATACAAATACAGAAAATCACTTTTTAATGGGGGGGTTTGCACAGGCGCAGTACAATGTACATTCTGCCAACGTGCTCTTTAGGTTCAATAACCCTATATAACCACATGACCACCTTGCTACCTCCAGGTTGTTAAAGACTACAACGATCACATCCAGGAGATTGCCAGCAAACTCATCGCTATCATGGACGACATGTTCCAGAAATCACTAGCAAAGGTGGGAGTTTTGTTTCTCATATGCTCATTGACAAGTACAAGTGAAAAGAATGGATAATTCATTCATTCAGTGTATATCGCATATTAAGGCCATGTTGATTTGATTATATGGATGACATCCGCGCGCGCATGAATTTTCGGCCATTTCAAAAAAAAAAAGTTTTCAACCATACTGTAAATCGTACAAAACAGTTGCAAAATGAGCAAAAATATACCATAAGTTACAAAAAAAATTAATAAAAACTATGCCAATGTCGTAGAATGCCAAAATCAAACGAAAAAAGACGACATTGTAAAGAAATGAACTTGAAGACTAGATTATTCGCCAAACCATATTCTGTGCCATTTGCTCAACCCTCATGACCACGTAGATTTCAATTAATGAAAAGAATTTTTTTTTTTGCAAACTTTTTTTTTATTCGCACGCGCGCATCAGTTTTGGGGCTCCCGGAGGATGTCATCCATATAATCAAATCAACATGGCCTAACATGGTACACTAAGTTAAATTGTTCTCATTGTTTTTCAGTTAAGCTAACATCGAAAAGATACTCTTTTGATACTACATGAAAAAATCGTCATCAGAATATCATTGATTAAAGTGCATCTATATGTAATGCAAGTATGAACTGAATCAGATGACCAAAATATGCTAAGAAATGGCAGTAAATGTCAATATCAGAAAAATTTCCTCATCCAGAATATTTTTTGTTTTGTCGCCCTGAAATTGCGTGGAATGCCCTTAAATTGGTGTTTCCCACTCCACGCAAAGGTTGATAGGGGAAGATCATCACCTTTATATACTAGTATATTAGAGATGGTCTGTTTTTTTTTTGTCGCTACCCCTCTCTGCCCAATGGATACTGCCTGGCCAATTTATTACTGTCTTTTTGCCATCCTTGGATCTGCTTGGAGATTAGTAGTAGTACTGTTTGTAGTTTTACTGTCAGTGTGACTGTTATGTTTGTTGCATTACCAGTGGGAAGCCAAGGCCCCCATGCCATCTTCCACCTTCCGTAACATCTGCAAACAAATCAGCAAGTTACACGAGGCCATAGTGGACCTTCTACCTCCAGAACAGATCAGAGTAAGGCTTATATAATTATATTGTACAAAATCTGCTTTTTTTTTGTAATGCCTCAGGAGCAAGCCTAATAGTGTGTTATCAGTCGACAAGAATTCATAGAATTGCCAGGACTTTGGTTATGTCCACTAATATCATACAAGCACGTTGGCGGAACATACTGCACCTGTGTGAAACCCTGTGTAATGTATTGTGCATATCACGTCTTCAGATTCAGAACGTCTCATATATAAAGTCGTACTTCTGTATACAAGGTTAACATCCTGTATGTAATTTTCAAATGTTATGTCGGAAAAGATATCAATAACAATATATATAATATATTATATTATTATCAATACACATAACAATTATTGTTTAGGAATAATTTGAGTTTTCTTCTGTCCCCAGGTCTTGTTTACAAGGATTAATGTGTCCTTTAAGAGCCATTTACAACAGCAGCTGGTCAGACTAAGTGTTACAAATGATGGGGGACCTCAGCATGGGTAAGGAATCACCACTATTTACTACATGAACCAGGGCTCTAGCCAGCATATGTTTTTCTGTCAATTACCGGAAATTTTGCAACGTGTGACGGAAAAAAATTTTGAAACCAATCCGTCAACCTTGGCAGACAAAATCTTGGGTAAAAATGTGAAAAACATTCAGAAGGATCACTGACAACCACTTGCAACCCCATGATTTGCCTCTCAAAATGCAGGAAAGTGCGTTTTTGAAACATTTTGGTGCTCGCATCACGTGTAAGGCACTCCCCTACCCAGATCAACTCCTGGACCTGGGCTGACGAAAAAAATAAATAAATTGAGCTGGCTAGAGCCCTGACATGGACCAAAAAATATTGTTAGACTGCCTCTGCCTTGTCTTGTTGCTATGTTTTTGGTATATTAAGAAGACCACTTAAATGTCTATGGAAGTAATAGTATATACCAGTAAGAAGTCTAGACCACTTTTCATTGGCCCCCTGGGTGGTCAACTCAAGCCTCGGTCACAACCCGCCGTACGTGCTTCTGCGTGCTGTCTACGCGCAAAAACGTGTGCAAACGTAGGGCATCCGTGCGGGGTGAGTACCACCTCCGTACAGAATCCTACGGATTTGGGAGCACGCGGACACGCCGTAGAACTTTAAGTGCATGTGAAACTTTTTCTGCGTGCGGTTTGCGGATTCACCTTCGAGTGACGTACTCCCTTGGCCGGTCACCCTACGTTTTCAGAAAAACATAGCAGACATGGGCTCCCAAAAAACGTACGGACAAAAAGCATGTACGGCGGGTTGTGACCGAGGCTTTAGACAGGTTTAGACAGGTGACTGTACAGTACTTCAGTAAGAACCATGAGAGTTTTTTTTCATCTACTCTCTCTTGCCTTTCAGACTGGTGCAATCAGATGTTGCGTTCTACTCGGGCCACATGCAGTCACTGCGCGGCCTGGCAGATGTCGACCTCCACATGCAGGACATCTGGGACAGGTGACAGTGGGAGGAGCTGCCGCCACACCAACACCCACCCCTGCAAACACAAAACAAGCATCCCCTCTACCACTGTTTTATATATGGTCAGGAGTGTACATATTTATTTCTTGGTGAAATGAACATGCAAGTTAGTAATGGACAGCTGCTATATATATTCTATTGTTTTCATCTTCAGTTAAACTGATTATTAGTTTAAAGAGATCTGTACATTTGACAATGATGTACATATGTAGACATGCAGAATTCTATAACATAAACAGCATCTTGTCCTTGGTTTCTGTGACTTTTAATCTTTTTCACTCACTTGCTGCCCATCAAATGGGAAATTTGTGAGTGGAATTGAACATTATGGAGAATACATTGTATTCTTTATCATCATTTGATTCGGATTCTTTCAGACTGGTACTAAATTTGAACATAATAAATTTGATATAATTTCGTTGAAAATGCAGAGATTTCAAAGGATGATCTTTAAAAAAATCTGAATTTTATATGTGAAGTGGTAAATTGTGACAACACATCCTTTGGGAAGAATCAAATTCTACTTACAATATTGTGCAAATTTTCGTGTTCAGTATTCATCAGTATACAGATTGGAGTATTCCGTATTGTAATTTAAAGTCATCCAATGGAATTTCAGGGTGACAAAACAAAAAATATTTTGCATGTCACATGAGGAAATCTGTCTGATATTGACATTTCCTACCTTTCTTAGCATAATTTCGTCATCATTTCATACTTCAAGCATTTGAGATAGCCCAAAAACAAGCTACGTGAGGCGACTCTTTCTTGGATACAATAAATAGCTAGAACCAGCCTACAATACAAAACAAAGTAACAGGAGTTTTCTTTTTACACAAATACTTTACTTTACCAACCTGATGAAACTATTTTCTAAAGTATGATACAAAATAAGCAATCATTTTCTGTCAGCGACATCACATTTTTGCCTTGCAGATATTAGTATGCTAACGGATAGGATTGATTAAAGTTAATATACAGTCAAACCTGCCAAGGAGACCACCTCTTCAAGCAGGCCACCTGTCCATGGTGACCACTTTTTCTCGGTCCTCAAAATTTTCCCCATTGACACAAGCATTAAGCAACCTGTCCAAGGTGACCACCTGGCCAACGCAAACGCGACTGCCCTGAGTTTGGTCCGCTCAAGGCCCGATACCTGCCCATGGTGACCATATCATTTTTTATCATATTGATTATTGATGATAACTAATGAGAAATCATGGAGAAACCAGCCAGTTTGCCTTGACTGCTGGATGATGTTTTTGTTTGAGGTAAATTGTTCCATGTGCCACCCTCCCCACATGCATTTACAGCATTTGACATTAGAATATCTCGACTTGGAAACCTCTCAGTCATGCTGTGAGGTGACCCTCTTCAAGGAGACCACCTGTCCAAGGTGGCCACTTTTATTTGCTCCCCTTGGTGGCCGGCTTAGACAGGTTTGAATGTACATTGAAAGAATGACCAGAAATTAACTTTGAAAATCCAATTTTGCCATTGGATGCCATATAAAAATGGTTGATGAAATTAGCCATTGGAATTTGATGCGTTTGACATGCTGCAACTTTCTGCCAAACTTCCTAAAACCTTTGAGGTGACCCTGCCAATCCTTGCTATAAAAATATATTACATAACAGAGTTTAAAAGCTTCTTGTTGCCCAATTTCATATCAATTTGCTCAATTTTGGAAAGTGGATAGTTGCCGCACACAAATGTTGTTATTACAACCATGCCATTTGGCGTTAAACTGTATTATTATCAAGTTTTTAAGGTGGCGTTTGTGACAGTTTATGTCGGTTAAGTTTGGGGATTGCCCTTACACTTACAGTGGTTCAGGCTCTGGTACCATTGTTCTCATTACAAAGGAGGCACTATTATATAATATATAATTGTTGTCTCTTGTCAGGGATTTATGGAAAATTTTCAATTAGGCCACACCAATTTAATTTCTTGGTTAACGGATTCGCCCGCTTCATTTTTGTCTGATTTGCAAATAAAAATAAAAATTCATAATCAACTGCAAAATGCTCATATTTTGCCCTGAACAGTCCTTTTCTTTCTAGCTGTTACAGTTATTCCATCTTTCAATGCAGTGGTATCATTAAAAGTTCAAAATTCATTGTTTAAATTTTGAACCAGCCTGGTGTGTTGACTTCATGGCTCCTATCGTACCATTGCATTTTGGGCCATAATAGGATGCCTAGGCATGTTTTTAGTTTTAGTTTTTTTTTTCGCCCACCCGCTCCATTATTTTTCTAGAAAAATCCGTTAACCAAGAAATTAAATTGGTGTGGCCTTAAATGGCCAAAAATTCATGCGTGCGCGGATGTCATCCATATAATTAAATCAATATGGTCTTATCTGGGGGGTCAGAAAATTTCCACTGGTGAATGAGAAAATGCATGTCTTGAACTATGTAACACTAAAGTGCTGCATCCACCTTCCTATTCTGTCACAAAGTAATGCTGTAACAGTATGCCACTTTTTTTGATGGCGACGTTCTCTTTCGAAAGTGTATTTAGTTGTCTAATCCAATTAAGTTTAACGGAATTCAACTGTCAAATTACAGATTAAGTTTGAATTCATTTTTGTTGGTCACAGAGTCTGTCTAATACATGTACATGTACACCTGTACACAATGAGGAGACACAGTCAGTAACTGGACTCAGTAACATTTCTTTAAGTCTGAAAGCTGTATCACAGCAAGTATTATGTTTCCCAGAAGTTAAATGCAACTTAATTTGCCGTATGAATATTAATTATATTCAATGTGACAGTCCTTTAGTACACTTGCTCTAGTTAGAATAACAAATTTTAGTTTGCAATACATGTATGTTTACTTAGCAATGTGAGATGTTGCAAAAATCAGATGTTGGTTTTAGAGCCGTACAAAAAATTTTGGCTGTCGAAATTGAAGCATCACTTTTTGTGTGCGCAAACATACATACATCTGATGTAGTTTGCATCAAATGTGACATTATCAAAATCACACTTATATATTAAATTTTCTTCTATTGCACATCCATCCATGTTTTTAATAAATTTAAATAAACAACAGTATTTCAGTTTGAATGAAGAGACTCTTTTTATGCAGCCATTGGTTTTATTCATCCAACATTTCGGTGACCGTCTGTCACCTTCCTCAGGGCAATTCTGATTGGTTCACATTGCACTGCAGCACAGGCATTTCTGCTTATAGATACATTTGTATGTTCCCAGGTGCGAGGTCATGTACAATGTATAATGGGAATAGTACTATCTACAATGTGGTTCCAAATGTACAGGTTCTGGAGTGTAATATAGGCCCTGTTCATATGAAGTCAGTGAAGGCGCTTTACATGTGGTTTCCCCCCAAGCCGATTTTAAGTGGCCCCATCTGAACGCTCCAAATCACATTGAAAGCACCTCAATCCCAAACCACTTCTAGAGGTGGTTTCGAATCGGTTTTCCCGCATCGCGATTTGTGTCTGGACGCAATGTGATTTCAATGTGACTTCACCTGGTCATGGATTACGGGGTGATATTTCTTTATTTATATGCAATACCAACTTTTACGTGGCATCAACTTAAAGAGCAGTAATGGTCAAATAATGTGTCCGTTCTAGGACGAGCTTCACCGCCTCTGGCGGGACCATGTCGGCATTCGGCCGAGATACGCTGGGAGGGGGGCATCAGCAAGCAGGTCGTTGACCTCTGACATTTATAACACGCTACCTTGCGAGTTTTCATCAAACAACAATGAATGCAGTTTCGGAGAATCGTGATCGGGCACGGTTTGAAAGGAATGTATGGCACGTGGACCAGATGTGAGGAATGCGAGTTACCCGAATCGTGGTTCGGGTGATTTCATATGAACAAGGCCATAGGCAGTGACACCTGTGCTGCAGTGCAATGTGAACCAGTCAGAATTGCCCTGAGGAAGGTGACAGACAGTCACCGAAATGTCAGCTTTGAATAAAACATTTGGTTGCATATTCAATATTTTGCCAACCCGAC